CCTTAATTAGGCTAGCCACACAATTGCAGCATAAGGGTTTTTCCCAAGCTGAACCCAATTTAGCTGCACAAACTGCACACTTCTTCTTGGGGGTCTGACTCTGCACCTTGTCCTGGACTTTAACATACAATGAGCAAGAAAAGACACAATACAGAAAATAATCAGCACAGGGCCCCTCATACAAAACCAATGTGCTGGGGGAGCAAGAAAAGGAAGTGTGCCCACCAGGGTCATCAAGAGGGATCAGAGTCCCCAAGCTTAACTTAGAGGAACCAGTGCTTGAAGGACCAGGGTCTGCCTGAGAAGTGCCAGCGCCTTCCATCCATCCCTCTTGGTGTGGAGCCAAAGGCTCTGCTGGGTCTGTACTCCAGACTGGCTGCAGTGCTAATATGGAGACTGGAACCACGAGTCTCCGGCGCCTGTCAATGACGTCACCGCAGCCGTAACTTCTGGTTCCTGAACAGCACCCAGAAGTTGCGGGTACTTGCACTCCTGCTTGGCAGTCACTCTGCCCCATTGTGCATCGGATGCTGGAGCCCCCCCCCCCCTCGGGAAGGACAACGACAGGCATCAAAGGTCCTGGATAGAGATGAGCGAAGTATTTAAAAATTTGATTCGACTGATTCGGCGAATTCGTGGAAAATATTCGATTCGAGTCGAATATATTCGCTGTGAATTTAACTTAAAAAAGGGTGTTTCTAGGCTTCAGAGAGACTTAATATTAGTGCAGAACACTGTACCTTTAATTTAAATGCCCTTGCCCAGGTCACACTGTGGGACCAGCAGCAGCGTGACCAGGCGGTACGGGGGCCCATGGCCGATTTGGGGCCTGGCGGCACCTATGGGAGGCCTGTAATCTGCCAGCAACCTATGACAAAATGGAAAACCGCAGGAGTGTGAGGAGACCTCAAAGTGGCACATGGCAGAGTGGGAGCAATGGGAGGCGGTACAGGGACCCAGGTCACACTGTGGGACCAGCAGCAGCGTGACCAGGCGGTACGGGGCCCATGGCCGATTTGGGGCCTGGCGGCACCTATGGGAGGCCTTTAATCTGCCAGCAACCTATGACAAAATGGAAAACCGCAGGAGTGTGAGGAGACCTCAAAGTGGCACATGGCAGAGTGGGAGCAATGGGAGGCGGTACAGGGACCCAGGTCACACTGTGGGGCCAGCAGCAGCGTGACCAGGCGGTACGGGGGCCCATGGCCGATTTGGGGCCTGGCGGCACCTATGGGGCCTGTAATCTGCCAGCAACCTATGACAAAATGGAAAACCGCAGGAGTGTGAGGAGACCTCAAAGTGGCACATGGTAGAGTGGGAGCAATGGGAGGCGGTACAGGGACCCAGGTCACACTGTGGGCCCAGCAGCAGCGTGACCAGGCGGTACGGGGGCCCATGGCGATTTGGGGCCTGGCGGCACCTATGGGAGGCCTGTAATCTGCCAGCAACCTATGACAAAATGGAAAAAAAAAGGTGTGAAAAAGGCCACCATTTTAGAACGGTAGCGAGGGTCCAACAAGGTGGACAGCCAAAAGTCATCCCTCTGTCTGATGGTTATTATTCGGCTGTCGCTACGCAAGCAACCGAGCATGCTATGGGCCATTTGTGCCAAGGAATGCGAGGGACTCCCTGCCTCCATCTCCACAGCATACTGCCACGGTGCATCTGGGTCCTCTGTCTCCTCCTCCTCCTCCTCTACCAGATGCTCCTGCTCCTCCACTCCTGTCCGCTGAGTGGAAAAACCACCCATTTCACTCAATAATTCCTGAGCACCAATGTCCTCCTCTACCTCCTCCTCTTCTTCCTGTCCTGCCCCCACAGGGGTCATGTGGCGTTGAGATCTGTGCGCCACGTCTACCGCACCCTGACCAGCCATTGTTAACAGCATTTGTTCCAGGACGTGCAACAGAGGAATGACCTCGTTCATCCCATAGTCCTGCCGACTCACGAATAGCGTGGCCTCCTCAAAGGGCCTGAGCAAGCGCAGGTGTCACGCATGAGCTGCCAATGGCTGACATCTAAGTTACACAGGGGAGTACCTTTATCCGCTTGTAACATCAGGAAATCTGTGATGGCCTTTCGCTGTTCGTAAAGGCGGTCTAACATGTGTAGGGTTGAATTCCACCTTGTTGCAACGTCACAGCATGAGGAGTCGGTACGGGGGCCCATGGCAGATTACGTGCCTGGCAGCAGCTATGGGAGGCCCGTAATCTGCCAGCACCCTATGACAAAAAATTGAACACACCAGCAGTGTGTGAGGAGACCTGAAAGTGGCACATGGCAGAGTGAGGCGATGGAGACAGCAGCAATGGGAGGCCGTACAGGGACCCATGAGAGACTGTGGACCTGGCAGCAGCATGAGGAGGCGGTACAGGGGCCCATGGCAGATTAGGGGCCTGGCAGCAGCTATGGGAGGCCCGTAATCTGCCAGCACCCTATGACAAAAAATTGAACACACCAGCAGTGTGAGGAGACCTGAAAGTGGCACATGGCAGAGTGTGGCGATGGAGACAGCAGCAATGGGAGGCCGTACAGGGACCCATGAGAGACTGTGGACCTGGCAGCAGCATGAGGAGGCGGTATAGGGGCCCATGGCAGATTAGGGGCCTGGCAGCAGCTATGGGAGGCCCGTAATCTGCCAGCACCCTATGACAAAAAATTGAACACACCAGCAGTGTGTGAGGAGACCTGAAAGTGGCACATGGCAGAGTGTGGCGATGGAGACAGCAGCAATGGGAGGCCGTACAGGGACCCATGAGAGACTGTGGACCTGGCAGCAGCATGAGGAGGCGGTACAGGGGCCCATGGCAGATTAGGGGCCTGGCAGCAGCTATGGGAGGCCCGTAATCTGCCAGCACCCTATGTCAAAAAATTGAACACACCAGCAGTGTGAGGAGACCTGAAAGTGGCCATGAAAGTGGCACATGGCATGAGAGACTCTGTGGACCTGGCAGCAGCATGAGGAGGCGGTATAGGGGCCCATGGCAGATTAGGGGCCTGGCAGCAGCTATGGGAGGCCCGTAATCTGCCAGCACCCTATGACAAAAAATGGAACACACCAGCAGTGTGTGAGGAGACCTGAAAGTGGCACATGTTTGGGGCATGATTCATGGCGGATTTAGTCAGTTGTGTCAGGAACTGGTGGTTTGAAATCCAGACTAATCCACGCCTGATTCATTTTCACAAACGTGAGTCTCTCCACACTTTGGGTGGACAGTCGTGTCCTCCGCGGAGTTACAATACCTCCTGCCGCACTAAAACACGCGCTCCGATGCCACGCTACTGGCCGGGCATGACAGCCTTTCAAGGGCAAATTCAGCTAGTTGGGGCCAAAGGTCAAGTTTCGTTGCCCAGTAGTCAAGGGGATTGTCTACCTCGGTTGGCAGGGTGCTGTCCAAGTAGGCCCAAGCCTGTTGTTTGAGCTCCTGCTCCAGGTCCACCTGATGCTGCTGCTGCTGCTGGCTGGTTAGTAGTTTCCTCACTGCGCTGGTGAAGAAAGCTACTCATCATCGACTGCAGACTGAGGCAGCCGCTGCTGGTGGAGCTGCCACTGCTCCTACCACCCCACCCCTCCCCTGCTGCCATGGCAGCGGAACGCGAGCGCACAGGGCCCACAGTGTCTGAGGATGGACGTTGGCGCAGAAAGGCAGAGACCAACTGACTACATAGGTGGTTTTTATAGTACGTAATTTTGGCCTCCCTCTCAGCAGGTGTGAAAAAGGCCACCATTTTGGAACGGTAGCGAGGGTCCAACAAGGTGGACAGCCAAAAGTCATCCCTCTGTCTGATGGTTATTATTCGGCTGTCGCTACGCAAGCAACCGAGCATGCTATGGGCCATTTGCGCCAAGGAATGCGAGGGACTCCCTGCCTCCATCTCCACAGCATACTGCCACGGTGCGTCTGGGTCCTCTGTCTCCTCCTCCTCCTCCTCTACCAGATGCTCCTGCTCCTCCACTCCTGTCCGCTGAGTGGAAAAAACCACCCATTTCACTCAATAATTCCTGAGCACAAATGTCCTCCTCTACCTCCTCCTCTTCTTCCTGTCCTGCCCCCACAGGGGTCATGTGGCGTTGAGATCTGTGCGCCACGTCTACCGCACCCTGACCAGCCATTGTTAACAGCATTTGTTCCAGGACGTGCAACAGAGGAATGACGTCGTTCATCCCATAGTCCTGCCGACTCACGAATAGCGTGGCCTCCTCAAAGGGCCTGAGCAAGCGGCAGGTGTCACGCATGAGCTGCCAATGGCTGACATCGAAGTTACACAGGGGAGTACCTTTATCCGCTTGTAACATCAGGAAATCGGTGATGGCCTTTCGCTGCTCGTAAAGGCGGTCTAACATGTGTAGGGTTGAATTCCACCTTGTTGCAACGTCGCAGATCAGGCGATGCTGTGGAATTCCGTTCTGCCGCTGCAGCTCAATGAGGGTGTGCTTTGCGGTGTAGGAATGGCTGAAATGCATGCAAAGTTTACGTGACATTTTAAGGATGTCTTGCAGTGGGATGGTGGATTTTAGGAACCGCTTGACAACCAGATTGAACACGTGAGCCATGCATGGCGCATGGCACAACCTTCCTTGACGCAGAGCAGACACCATGTTCTTTCCGTTGTCGGTCAACATGGTTCCGATTTTCAGTTTGCGCGGAGACAGCCATCTGTCGATTTCTCTGTTCATTACACTCAGAAGTTCCTCCCCTGTGTGACTACGTTCGCCAAGGCATACCAGGTGCAGCACAGCGTGACACCGTTGCGCCCTGCACATGTGATATGCCGGTCGGGTAATGGGACTTGGCACGGGGGTGGCGGCTGAGGACACGGCGGAAGAAGAGGTGGTAGAGGCGGACATGTTTGCTGGACCAAGGACGTGCAAACGTGGAGGCAAAAGCGGCGTGACCTGTCCAAGTTGCTGGTGCGGCTGTGCCGGCACCACGTTCACCCAGTGGGCCGTAAATGACATGTACTGTCCCTGACCGTAGTTACAGCTCCACACGTCGGCGCTGCCGTGCACTTTGGCAGAGACCGACATGCTCAAAGACTGGCCCACCATCTCTTCTACATGTGAATGCAGGGCTGGCACTGCCTTTTTGGCGAAGAAATGACGGCTTGGCACTCTCCACCGCGGCGCGGCACAAGCCATCATTTCTCGGAAAGGTGCTGAGTCCACCAGTTGGAAAGGGAGGGACTGCAGCACCAGCAACTTGGACAGGAGGACGTTCAGCTTTTGCACCGTCGGGTGCGTGCTCGCAAACTGTTGTCTCTTGGAAACGGATTCCAAGAAAGACTGCTGACGGAATCCGAGAAGAGGAGTAGCAGGAGAAGGAGCATCTGAACGAGCGGAAGATGCCAACGAGCGACAACTCCCCTCAGCAGAGGTGTTGGAGCCTTGACTGGCTGATAGAGGGCGATTGACGTCGGGTGACGGAGCAAGTAACGGAGCGGGTGATGGAGCGGGGGCTGGGGCAGGCAGAACCGCCGTATCTTTATCACGGTTTTCCCAGGCCACCGAATGGCGACGCTGCATATGCTGACGCAACGCTGTAGTCCCAACATGGGCCCCCTGGCCACGCTTGACTTTCTGGCCACATAGTCGACATACGGCTACGTTTACTTCCTCGGGCGGCTTGACGAAAAATTGCCACACCACCGAGTAGGAAACTTTGCCCCCGCTACTCCTCACTGGCTGACTGCTACTTCCTCCGTGCGCACCGGCACCACTACTGGCCGTGGTGGTAGGCTGCAGTGGAGCTGGTGCTCTACTCCGTGGCGTTTGGCTCCACTGACACTGCTGCGACCCTGCTGCCTCCTGGGCAACCCACCGACTGTTTCGCTCGCTGCCAAGCTGGCACCCTCTTCTCCTGATGATGCGGAAGAAATTACCTGATGACGACGAGGCTGCCAAGTGCGATCAACCTCCTC